AAAAAAAAAAAAGAAGAAAGAAATATTGCTTTTAATTTTCAAAATAAATTTTCACTGAATTTATAATTTTCATTTAAGAATTATAGCAACTTTCAAATCATCCAAATATTCAGACCTAAAAGAATTTCAAGACCAATTTTGCTATTTTTAAAATTTTTAAATTCTCAAATTTAATAGATTCTTCTGTTTTACCAATTTTACAATTTTCAGTTTACACATTTTGATATTGAAGATTTCCTTCCTTTTTTTTCTTTTTTTTAAATAATCTCATTTTTAAAAACTTAAAATTACAAAAATTTTTATGCTTTTCGCTACTTTTCTAACTATTAATTAACATTTATCTTAATTACTTAGTGTTAGTGCATATTATTCTTTGCTATTAATGTTAATCGTTTATCAATTTCACAGTTTTATCATCAAATTTTAAAATATTTTATCCCCCATTTCTAAAGCAATCATTTTAACAAGTTATCCACTACTGCTAATTAACATTTATCCTAATTAATTAGCATGTTTATTCTTATTTTTTTATTTTTCCAATTAATATCAAACATTTATTAGTTATCAAACTTGAAAATATTTCATCCCCTATTTCTAAAATAATTATTTAAACAAAATGATTGTTTATTTATTTGCAATTCCCGAGAGAAATCAAACTACCATATCTTTTTAATGTTTGCTACAGGTATGTAATTCGATAATTGTCCAGGTATGCAATCATTTTACGCAACTTTTTTTGCATTTTGGGAATCTATCTATTGGTATGATTTGAGGACGCATTTGACCGTAACAATTTCTCTTTGAAAAGCGGATGCTTCTTTTTTTTTTTTTTTTCTCTCTCTCTTTTGTAAGAAATGATATTTTGATCATTAAAGAGAAGCCGCTTATCGACTTAATTTACCAATATTATAATCTCTCTGTGTCATTAAATATTCCATCCTTATGGTATGATGAATGAATGGATACAGACTCTTATCAAAACAATTGTAAATAAATGAATATAATATTACATTAGCAAAAGGAAAGTTTCCTTAGCATTTCAGATATTTGCTGATAAATTAGTGATAAATTAATTAATCCACGAATCCATGTAATGATAGCATTAATGATAACTCGTGAATGTATATATTTATGTATCACTGATAATCTTTGATGCTTCAAATCATATTAATCTTTTATGATTAAAAAAATCCTTCAAACTTGTAATGATAACATGATGATAAGTTGATGATAACGTTAATAATAAGTTGTGAATGTATATATTTATGTATCACTGATAATCTTTGATGCTTCAAATCACATTATTCTTTTATGATTAAAAAAATCCCAAACTTCTAATGATAACGTAATGATGAGTTAATGATATCATAATGATAAGTTATAAATATGTTTGTTTATCACTGATAATCTTTGATGTTTTAAATTGAAAGTACAAAAATAATCCATAAAATGCACTCTACAAAATGCACATTGATCTTTGTTAATTCTTCAATGGAATTTTTCTTGAATATGTCAAAAAAAACAAGCCAAAATATTTCTATAAAATTGATCCAATCAAATCGAGAGAGAGAGAGAGAGAGAGAGAGAGAGAATTAAAAAATTTTGATCTTTGACCCGGAAAAATAAAATTGCTTCCCGCGATTTTATGACACCCTAATATTTGTTGCTAATTTCAGCTCAATTACATTTTTATGTGTTCATTTAAGCATATAACAAGTAAAAGGATGCCGTATATCTTGGAAATATTCTTCAAACATCTGCTTCTGATATAATAATTCTCATCAACACTTGTCTCTCTCTCTCTCTCATATAATTCCCCGACAACACTTATCTCCCAAAATAATTCCCCGACAACACTTATCGCCCAAAATAATTCCCCGACAGTACTTATCTACCAAAATAATTCTCCATAACATTTATCTATCATTTCTTTGTTTTAATCTATTCTTTTTTTTTTTGATAAGTGATTATTTTTAATAAACTTTTTTTTATTAGAATTAAATTTTTTTTTTCTCAATGTAAATTAATTTCAAAAATTTATTTTATTTTTATTTTAATTTTTTTTTTGCTGTTAAAAAGATAAATTAATAATTTTAATTAAGAGTATTTTGTTTAAAAGAAAATTTAAAATTAAAAGGAAAGAAAATTTTATGAATTTATTTTAACAAATGTGAAATTTCAAATAAATTATCATTATGATAGCTAATTTGTTATTTAAATACTCAAAAAATCATTTCAAATTTATTCATTCAAGGATCATTTAACAATCATAAATCTTGCAAGAAATGATGGAAAATTGCTATCAGCTGTTAGCTGATCCATCTGTTTAGTATATCATCCAGTGACAGTTAATTACAGGATAGGAAAGCATAAGCTAATAATAGGCGGATAGCTTAGGGTCAACAATGGGCCAATTATTTTCCAGATGATTTAAGCAATGCTAGTAGCTTAAAATCAATTTTTATTATCGGAATAAATATTAATATATGATAAGCTAATACATAATACTAATTTATGTATTAATATATGATAAGCTATATGATAAGATCACCCTTATCATTCATAATCAGTAGTTTTCATCAACATCATATCAATCGTATTTAAATTGACAATATTTGCTATTATGCATTCTTGTTCTCAAATAAATATAATAATCTTTTCAATACTTTTAAATAATAATTCTTAATTTTATAAAATTTGAAAATCATTAAAATATCCTGAAAAAGAAATTTTGAAATTTCAATATTTAAAAAAGTAGATAACAAATAAATAATCATAATAGTATTATATTTTAATATTCAATGGACAATTATTTGTCTTTTTTTTATGTCCTTTTAGAAAAGAATTTTGTATAAAATAGGACAAATAAGTTAGTTCACTTTTTTTTTCTTTTACGATTTCAAAATTTTTTTTTCTCAAATTTGAATACTCTTTTGAGAAATGCAAAAATTGACTTGGTTAATTACACATTTTTGTTGATTTATTTCTGGAAACGGAACGGAATTATCCAATATGTCGGAAAAATTTTTGCATAACGATAATTTTGTTTAATGTATACTAAAAAAAAGTAAAAAGAAAAAAAAGATTTCACAAAAGTCATTGAATAATTTTATGAGAGAAGAGGGAAAAAAAAAGAGCAAAATGAAGTCAATTTTCATTTTGCAAGAAATCTATCAATGAGCCAAAATAAATGCATCATTTTCATATATTAAAAAAAAAAATCCAACTGAAAAAAAA